CATCAATAGCTTTAAATGAGTGTCGTAGCATAAAGGTTAAGGCTTCCGGTGTATTCGTATGTAGCGATGCATCGGTCTTCGAATCCCACCGGCAGGTACCATTTTTTCCAGTGACTTCCACGTTGAAGGAACAACATCTTGTAATAAAAATCAAACCCGCAAAATTATAATTTGCATAATCACTGGTGGTAGGACGTCTTGTGAGTCCGCACAGTTAGGTACCACCGCCCTGTCTATTTCTGCCGTGAAGCAGAAATGTGTTTCGGTTTGAAGGGTGGGGCAAAAAACGCTGTAAAAACGGAGACCTTAGAAATCATGTCTCAAGATGGGTGGCGGCATTTACGTTGTAGATGTCTATGGGTTCCGGTAACTACTTAACACGTGGTGGGCCGTGAGCTCTTCTACCCATCTCAGCAATAAAATAAATAAATAAATTAAAAAAGAAGCTAAAATGAATTACTCTTAATAAAAGAGTTTAGTATAGGGGTGGTTCTACGCGACAAAGAATACTGTTATGATCTAATTTAGCGGTTCTTTAACACACGACGTTATTAGTACTTAGCAATTTACATGTATTAGAACGAAAGGCTTAGACAGATTTCAAAAAATAATCCTTCAGTTCTCCTATAATTGCTTTGAAAATAATTTATAATATTGATGATTTTCAGGATGTATTCCAGCTGCTGTGTAGTTCTCAACCGTCCCAAACTTCCGAATTCGAAGCACTTAAAAAGGCTTTGATTTGGGCGAGGTCGCTATCCCGGTCCCCGGCCCAACAGCGACTGTTTGGTGGTAAGGGAGAAGAGTACTCTCTTTCACACCCCACCACCTGCCTTCATTTTGCAAGATGGTTCTCTCGCAGTAATCGAACACAACCAAAACGACCCGAGCGTAGTGACTGCGATGCTGGGCAGCGACAAGTCAATACCTATTTTTAAGATGAGGACGCGGCGTTGTCCCTTCCGCAGTTGATGCATCCACGACACTTTGGATCTGCGTTCTTTACAACATATCATGATTGAGCTCATCAAAGCACGCACTGCGTTCCAACGTGCATTTTTTCATAAACATAAATTTGAATGGCATTTCTTTTTTTTTTTTATTGCTTAATTGGGTGCTCGGATGAGCTCACAGCCCACCTGGTGTTAAGTGGTTACTGGAGCCCATCTACGACGTAAATGCGCCACCCACCTTGAATATAAGTTCTAAGATCTCAAGTATAGTTACAACGGCTGCCCCAATTCAAACCGAAACGCATTACTGCTTCGCGGCAGAAATAGGCAGGGCGGTGGTACCTACCCGCGCGGACTCACAACAGGTCCTACCACCAGTAAAAAATTTGGCATTTCCAAACTAACTCACTACGAAGAAATTGCACCGTGCTTCATGTGTATTTTTTTTGGAATTCGTTTTCTGACTCGCCATTTGTCCCGGTAATGATCTGGGCAAATGGGAAAAAGAGGATCCACGTCAAATAGTTGAAAAAATTTTTTTTTCTCTTTTCATTTTCACTTCCCGAGAACGTCCATTGGAAGGATTACAGCAATTAATTGTAGGGATTTCTCGTCGTGACTCTTTAAATAGGCTCCTCTGTTAATAAATGATTATATCGCGATAAAATACTTCACAGATTTAAACTCCGTATTAATTGTGAATGAAAATACACTGAGGGCGACAAAACGGTTGTTTTTTTTTGTAATTATATAAATCGAGTTTAACAAAGTGACTTGTAACAAAGTACTTTGGTTTCAATACTCTTACCAGTGAGCGACCTGAAGTTAATCCTTAAGAATGTATGGAGGTTTTTTTTATTTTATTGCATCGATGCGTGGACGAGCTCACAGCCCACCCGGTGTTAAGTAACCGGTAACCCGGTCAACATTCACGGTTCAATTACTTGGGCCTGGATCTGATGTTCTTTTATCATATAGTAAATTGACATTCAAATGCGAATGGTGATTTTTTTTTTATTGCTTAGATGGGTGGACGAGCTCACAGCCCACCTGCTGTTAAGTGGTTACTGAGCCCATAAACATCTACAACGTAAATGCACCACCCACCTTGAGATATAAGTTGTAAGGTCTCCGTATGGTTACAGCGGCTGCCCCACCCTGCAAACGCATTACTGCTTCACGGCCGTCCGGTACTTGGGGGTCGATATCGACCGGAGTTTGAGGATGACCGCCCACGCCATGTCGGCGTTGGTGGCCGCTCGCTATGCGAGATTCCTCCTCCGGCCGGTGTTGGCCTCCAGGTTGCCGGTCAGGACTAAGCTCGGCATTTATAAGACGTATGTCCGTTCCCGTATCACGTACGTAGCTGCGGCCTGGTATCACCTCATCCCGCAGGGTATGCGGGAGAGGTTACAGGTCCAGCAAAATCTGGCTCTTCGCACGATAGTAGGAGCAGGGCGTTACGTCAGTAATGCCGTAATCGCCCGGGATCTGGATGTGGAGTCGCTCGAGGAGTTCATCCGGAGGCTAGCTCGTAATCTTTACGAGCGGGCCGACGGTGGACCCCACGAGCATCTCCACAATATAGCTCTCTTGCACGCCAGACCACCTGAACGTTGGGCGCTACCAAGGAAGCTACTGGAACCCCCTTCTATGGTAAGATAGTCGGCTTAACCGGAGTGATATGGGAGTGCTCATAATGAGTGCCCCCATGGGACTGAGCTGTCCACACTCGTCACTTCCTCCCTCATTGCTGGGGTGCCCCCCTATGGGGACCCATTTTCCACCCCCGAGGGTGGACCACTCCCCCGTCTGGGGAGTGTTTTAAGTCGGCCCCTCCCCGTGACGCACTTCCCCTTCTGGGGAGCCCCGAGCGGGTGAGCGCCTTAACTAGTGCCGCGGCTCCCCCTCTGGTTGTAGAGGTGGGGCCGCGGCATGGGGCCGGTGGCGGGCCCTCGTCGTTGCTGACTGTTGTCCATGCTTTTGTATATATAGTGTAGGTAGTTGTAGATAGATATAAGGAAAAAAAAAAAAAAATTAGCATTAAGGAAGCAGAGTACAGCAGCCGGCGCCGGGGTGACTCCTCCACGGGCACCGAGCCGTCACCAGACCAGCCCATCGTATTATGTTTATGTATATATCATTTTGTCGATGTGGTGCAGCCGTGCACGCTGCGAACAGCGTACCTCCCCCAATTACTCCCTGCATCAACAAAACAAACAAAATTAACAAAATTGATAACTCCACTGCACTGGAATCAGTGTCGTTATATGTGCCTGATGGCTACATGCGCGGATGTATGTGTGGAGGGGTGCGTCGCCGGCGGCAGCTTCTTAGTACTACGCACGCGCGTACGCAGCACACCGCTAACTCCCCGACGCATCGTACTGTCTCGCTACTCAATGGCTTGCTAGCCTATGCTCCGGAAATGGATATATTCCATGATGGTTTGCAGCGATTTATTGTTGTTGTTAGAAATTACTTAAGCTAATTATTAATACCTTACAAATGTTTTGGTTTATACTGTTAATTTGTAAGTAGACTAATTAAATAAATAAATAAATAAATAAATAAATCAACTTCACCCCTGCCCTGAGATGGCAGGGAGCGTCTGCCCGAGCAATGGGGTTTGCCCCGAGGCCCGCTCCGTACTCCCGTCAGGGGGTACGACGACCCCTCTTGCTTGCTTGCTTCACGGCAAACCCTCCTACCTACAGGCATCAGTTACCCCCATGCTAATAATATTACTTCCTCTTAACATTGTTAATTAGACACCATTCACACTCGTAATGTTACCTCAAAACATATTCTAGTATCTAGAAGACTAATACAAAGCAAATAAATATAGTGTATTTAAGTAATCTGTGAATTACTGTCACTGCATATGACATGCCAGTGATCCGCGGCACTGACAAGAAATACAGAATCGATAAAAAATAAATACTTTCAAATAATTTAATTTATTCAATTATTTTGTTCTATTCTATTTGTTAATCTAAATTGTTCTATTGGTACGGTAAATAAATAATATAAATGACAATCGACTGTTCATTATTCATCAAATTGAACATTTGTGTGTTATTTAAAACTTATAAATTTTATTATTATTTCAAATTGAGACTTTTTCAAGTAATAATCCATTTCCTTTTGCAGGTATGATTTTAAAGAACGAATTCCAAAATAAGTGTTCATGAACAAGTTCCAGATCCAACCATATGGCTATAGATATCAGAACAGAAATCAGGTCTGATATTAGTTTCTAATTGTAGCTACTTGATACGCCAAATATGATAAAGTATATGTACTGACTATGTACAGCAACGCCGGATATTCTCAGTGGCCAGTTATACTAACACTCCCGGTTAGAGCCCCGTGAGCTCATCTACACGTCAAGGAGAAGCTGAAATAGCCTCTCAAGGCTATCAGCATAGGTAGGGGAAAAAAAACAACCTCAAGGTAAGCACAGTGTGCGCATTGTTCGCCTTGAGCATGAGTTTAGCTTGACGCCGTTTAGAAATTTGCTCTTTATGGAGTTCAGACATAGCTCTCAAATTGTATTACTTTACAAAAAATACGAATCTCTCATTTATAAATTAATTTTGAGCGCACGGCAAGCTCGCACTTAAAAATATGGTGAAGTATTTGCGGCCAGAGAACCTTAATGATATTAGCTAGTTCAGCTATTAGTTAGAACATGATAGCAGGGAAATCCAGCCTAATGCATCGACCACTACTTCTTCATCATGATGAAGCAGCAGCAGTTGGCCTGCTTTCATACTTTCCTCTATAAATTCCCTCTGGTAATAGCTATGCTACTCATTTCAGGTACGTAGCAATACTACATAATGGCAGTGCCGATCTCCTTAAGTATTTACAACACTATAGTTGGATCTCATGCCTCAAAGTGGATGGCATTTTTAACGTTACAGTATCCTAAGGTTCCGATATAAATTTACGTCGATATGGGCTGTAGTATGAGTCAAAATATCAATGAATTATTTTTAAAATAAATAAAACGCTTCAATAATTCTCTTCTACGTATTTAGTTTATTTATTCCCATTTTTATTCCTACTAATCGGAGGTTCTTTCTCGTTTCTAATTTTTATAAGAGCATTTTCACTATCTTTCTCGTGTCGTAAAGGCTCATTCCAATCAGCTCTTTCGGCCGTTCCGAAGATGACGTAGAAAAGATTGCTGATCAGGTAGAATCCGGCTGCCACGGAAAATACGTAACCCCACAGTTTTGGGCTTTTCTGAAAGGAAAAAAAGAACCGTTTGCAAATAATTCTTAGCTAATTAACTGTAGACGGCGGTGTGCATAGTAAAAGTAACTGTTTCAAGGACAGTACTACACCTGCTTTATGAATGCAATTTAAATATGATCATTCTGCACGTTGAGCCGGCCTACTGGTAGCATTCATGTTGACTTACTATACGTATCGAGAACCAGTCAAAATAACTTAGTCCATGATCGCGCTAATCAAGACCAGCGTAGCTAGCACATACAGTGAAGTACTAAAAGATCCACTACCACGTTGCGGGCCATTGTTATTGGATATTTAAGATCGGTTCTTTACATATCAACCTAATACCTTAGCAGTGGATCAGATGGAGTACGTTTACATATTTCCAATCCAAAGGGCAAATATCAAAGGAAATTAGTATGGCACCATAAATGACAATAACCCTTTGAGCGCGAGTCGTCGATAGATCGACTCTCTTAATGCGTATAAAGCGCGGAGCGTCGGAATATCGACTATTTGCGCAGTTTGATTGTAGGTATTATGTAGCGACCAGTATGAACGTCTCTTAGCGCACGCATATATAACGTTTATAATAAGTTAATAAAATCTATAAATAGCTATTTAAAATTATTTTGATGTGAATTTAGTAATTTTTGTATTTTTTTTAATTAAGCTACTCTTTTTCCAAAGTCTTTTAGAAATTTCTGCAAAATATGTGAAAATAAGCTCAACATTAAAAGGGTTAATGACTTTCATGAACTGTACAACAACTTGAATTATAAAGCTAATAAAAACACCAGGAAAGTACTTACAACATCAGTTAAAATTAAGCCAGTTGTGATGGGTGCTAATGACGCAATAGAATTCGCCATGAAATTGCTCAAACTCATCATAGTTCCAGCGAAATTCGGTGATATGTCAATATGATTAACCTAGAATGAAAATTCATATTCGCTATAGCAAGGCAATGCATGTTGAAAAATATCTGATTTTTTTTTTAATAATTATAATATATCCAGTTCAGTTTGAACTGTCTATTATTGTATTCAAACTATCTGTTTGAAGACATAAATAAATAGACATCGTACAATTGTAGTTCAAATTTTTATTTGTATTTATTCTGACAGTAATAATCATTATAAAATAAAACTAATACCAGTAAAAAGGTATAGTTAACCTACTGCTTATTTCAAATTAAAAGTTCTTCCAGCTAATCTTATTAGGAAGACCAAACTAGGGATTTCATATAAAATTGCTTGAACAACATCTCTCATGGGTACAAAATACACATTATTACTTTAAAGAAGATAGATAATATTTGACAAGCTTTTTAAAAGCAGATTTTTATCTACAGATACGAACGCATGATACATAGGAAGGACAATATAAAAATAGGGTAAGAAGAACAGTGAATAGAACAGTGATTATGACTAAAAATATGCTTTGTGGTTGAGCAAAAAAGGGTAGGGCAGCCTTTCCACTGTAAAACTGAGGACTTAGAACCCATATTTATTAAATGGTAGAAATGAAAATCAGAATAATATGTCTTTGCAAAGACGGATAGGTAACCAGTTAGCTATTTTAGAAATGCGAGACGCGATGAAACTTTACTCAACTTAACTAAACTAAAAAAGGGATGCCTAATTTTGGAAGCATTCAAGTTTGTTTGTGAGAGATCTGTCTGGTCTGTGAATAATTTGTTGTTTGTAAATTGTTGTTAAATGTGTCTTAACTTCGTGTCGCCTGAGGACACAAGAAAATTAATGTATAATATTATGTCATCTCAATGGATCTGATCTAGTGGATTTTATGAAGATTCTTGGTTATTTAGGTTGTTACTTCATTTGTAAAAATAGTACGTATATATATTTTGACAAACTAAAGCATGACATTATTTAACACATTATTCCGTCACATACACAATAATATTGTTAAAGTTTAAGATAAAAGCTTAATTAACGCACGGAAAAACTGATAATGGCTATTATACATGTTATTATACAGGCCTTTTTAGCAATATGTATGTATGAAATGTATTTTTATCGTAAATGTTCTGGATTGAACGGGTTTACTTTTGCGTTATTTGATAGATTAAAGTCGTACTTTGACATTACGATTCAGACCATATTGTGTGCACTTTTGATTAACCTACGTGTCTTAAATAGCTATCTTTCACTTACTTGGAATCCCATATGGCTCGATACCTTTACAGCGCACACCAAGACAAGGATTGTTTCGATAATATAAATATTTTGCGGAACATATGCGAGTGATATAAGACCTATTGCCGCTGGAATACATCCTGAAAAATCATCAATATTATAAATTATTTTCAAAGCAATCATAGGAGAACTGAAGGATTATTTTTTGAAAACTGTCTAAACCTTTCGTTCTAATACACGTAAATTGCTAAGTACTAATACCGTCGTATGTTAACGAACCGATAAATTAGATCATAACAGTATTATTTGTCGTGTAGAAGCACCTCTATACTAAACTCTTTTATTAAGAGTATTTCATGTAGTATTTCATAATATATGAAATGGCTTCATGTTGAGAATATTAGCTTGAATTCTTCAATCTTGATCTGCAGCAAGAAAAGGTGCTATGAAAGTATAAAAGAGAAAAGCGGTAATACATAAAACTAATGAATTTTTCATATATTTGAACGCATATAATAGAGATATGAAATCGTCAAAAGAATACCATTAGCATTAGTCAAGTATGAATCTTATCTTGTTTTATAATCTGTATTATATGTAATAATAATTTTTATATTAGCTCAATTTGCCTTCTCTGAAGATTGATCGTTTAGTTATCATTTGGCACACATTGATAAGTCATTGAAATAATGTTAGTAGTACATATTATTTGGAATATAAACACGACCTTCAATCGTCTTTTAAGAGTAGCGGCTAACGACTATAAATACTGCATCGCACGAAGTCTCTAGTCCCATAGACACAGCCCCCATAGACACAGCCCACTGAGTTTCTCGCCGGATCTTCTCAGTGGGTCGCGTTTCCGATCCGGTGGTAAAATCTGCGAAGCACTGCTCTTGCTTGGGTCAGTGTTAGCAACTCTCCGGTTTGAGCCCCGTGAGCTCACCTACACACGTTATAGGGTGAAGCTGAAATAGCCTCTCAAGGCTATCAGCATAGATATGAAAAAAAAGTCTATAGCTTATTAAAGATTTTGGTATGTGGGTGTTATTTTATATATTATTATATGTTGGTATGTCCTTGTTTTGATACCCATACGATATTTATCTGACCCATAAAATAGGATAAAAACTAGCCTCCGTTTTAAATGTCTTCCGATGCATACCCTGGGCGGGTGGCCTACTGTATGGTAAATGATCACAATCGTTTGGTCCTGGACATCACGAATGCTAGTTTTAGGTCGTTGAATGTGATACAAAGATTTAAAGTTAGATTTAAATTAATTCGTTTCAAACTAGACTTTATTTCATGTCTCGGTCGTCTTATGAGATCGTAGATGCTTGACTTTTGAGGCTTTCAAATTGATTTTCAACAACATTTATTGTTTATGCTCATTTTCCCTCCTTAATGCATGTCATTAGCTCATTAGCTATCTCATTAGATGGGTTTGGATTCTCAGGAAACAACGTTATTGTCTTTACACGCGAGTTCGCGAGTACTTTACATAAAATATAGATAAAAAAATCACATTTCATTCGTCAATTATCTTATCTGACACCAATTCGAGTACAAGATTGACAAAATTCGTCATAATAATCACTGGATAAAACATTCTAAGATAAACTTCATCCGATAATCTTGATTAGGTGCATTTGTTTTTGAATTATATCCTTTAGCTAACGTCATCGTGAGTTGTGTAGTGTTTGAATCATGTTTTTTAGTGCCTGATAAATGTTAGCGATGCAAAGAACGCAGTCAAGTCGCTAGAATAAGGACTTTGTTTTTTTATTGCTTAGATGGGTGGACGAGCTCACAGCCCACCTGGTGTTAAGTGGTTACTGGAGCCTATAGGCATCTACGAAGTAAATGCGCCACCCACCTTTTGAGATATAAGTTCTAAGGTCTCCGTATAGTTACAACAGCTGCCCCGCCCTCCAAACCGAAACGCATTACTGCTTCACAGCTGATATAGGCGGGGTGGTGGTACCTACCTGCGCGGATTAGCTAGCCATATCAACAATCATTGTATAATTTCTGCGGCTTTGGTTTTAGGCAAAGAAATCTTTAAAAGTTGAAATAATATATTATGTATGCTGCCGGAATATTAAAAAAAGGGCGATAAAGATTTTGATAGTAGGAGGAACATCATAACTTCATTTATCTACTGTGGCGGAAAGCCATCACACAATACAAGATATTTGACAGACGCCTAAATCTCGTTTACATTTTCAAGATAAGCTTGCCTATATATAAGTTCCGAACAACAACATTCGGACCGTCGGTCTACCGGGCAATATCACCCGCTCGGTGGAAGATCTTCTCTTTGTCGTATATTTATACTACGATGCTAATTATGTCCAAAGGCATAAGTATAGTTTTGAAGTCGGCGCGAATTTACTCTGTCGTAAAGCTCTCGACGTAGGCGTTTTTATATAAAATAGGTAATGTAGTCTTTTTTTATTTTTATTGCTTAGATAGGTGGACGAGCTCACAGCCCACCTGGTGTTAAGTGGTTACTGGAGCCCATAGACATCTACAACGTAAATGCGCCACCCACCTCGAGATATAAGTTCTAAGGTCTCAGTATAGTTACAACGGCTGCCCCACCCTTCGAACCGAAACGCATTACTGCTTCACGGCGGAAATAGGCGGGGTGGTGGTACCTACCCGTGCGGACTCCCAAGAGGTCCTACCACCAGTGAAAATACCACCAGTCTTGACATATTATTCGTTGATTTGCAACGTGTGCATTTGATAGATAGAGACAGAGAAGTTTGCCGAGATGCGAACGACCAATATACACCCGCGTTGAGTTAATTTCTCGATATGTTGTACATGTGTGAATAAAATGTATCTTTCATAATCTGGTGGTAGGACCTCCAGTGAGTCCGCGCGGATAGATGCCGCCACCCCGCCTATTTCTGCAGTGAAGCAGTAATGCGTTTCGGTTTGAAGGGTGGAACAGCCGTTGTAACTATACTTCAAACCTTAGAACTTACATCTCAAGGTGGGTGGCGCTTTTACGTTGTAAATGTCTATGGGCTCCGGTAACCACTTAATACCAGGGAGCTCGTCCACCAATCAAAGCAATAAAAAAAAACTATTAAGGTATAGAAATAACAAATGTTCATAATATTATAATGATTTCAATTACCAATAGAGTTAGCGACTTTTCTGGTGTTAGTGACGGACAGAAACTTCTTTACAATCAGCATATCCGTGAACCAGCTGAAGAAAAAGTTTGTAAGCCACATCACCATGAATGGTAGGGCTGTCAGAAGCCCATTCTGAGGAAAGAAACAATCGTTTTTAGTTTTTGTTGCATAGACGATTACGACGGTAAACGGACTCAGGACTTATCTGATTTTAACCAGTTACTAGAGCCAGTTCACATCACCACCACAATGCTGCCTTAAGTCACGAAGTCTCAATCTCAATTAGCTAGTATAGCAGCTTTCCCTCTTCAATCTGGAACGCACGATTGTTTCGCAGCAGAAATAAAAATTATAATAGTACACATCCGTACGGGTTCGCAACAAACAACTATGAAAGTTATAGTTTATTTTTACGGGCTTCGTTTTTATTATCCGACGCTGTTCCTTTATCGTGCAAATCATTCGTGAACATGTGTTGAGTATGGGTTTCATTGTAAGAATTGGTACTTGCCAGCCAGATTTGATCACCGGTACATTCGTATCAATCAACACCAATATACTGGACATCTTATCATTTAGGCCACGACGGCTTCAATAGTCATTTAAAAATAATGATGTTGTGGGTAAATCAGAATTGAGATGCTCTTTCAAATTAAGGCTATGCTAGTAAAATTGTAAAGGAATATAATGTTCTTGTTCGTTATTATTAGTCTGATCTGGTCAGAGTGGTTGTGGTTACGCTGATGATGAACATGCTGAAGCATTCGTTAGTAAAAGGAGGAAAATCTTCGGTTAATCTGATCGAAAGTGGATGTCGTCACTTTTCAAAATCATCTCTATCCTTCTATTATCCCGTACTCTGTAGCACGTTAAAAGGAAGACAATGAAGTTGTTTTGTTGCGCCAAAGAGTGCCATTCTCGGATCGTTCATTTACCAATAACAACAGAAGATTAAGCTCTTACCGCCTTAATGTTCACACCCATGACCTTATCCATATACGCAGGTACCTCGGAGTACAGAATCAGCTGGCCCCAAGTGTGTCCGATATGCGCAACTATAATAGCATAACTTCCTTGAGAACGTAATATTTTCGTCCACGGAACGGGCATTCTATTCTGTAGACCAAAATTTAAAACTTAAATTCACGGTTAAACTCGCTATGCAAAAGAGGCGCTTTGTCCAGTTGCGAACACTTTCCGGGCTTTCAAGCTTCAAGTTTCAAGTTAGAACTTAGAATTACTCTCTCTAGGTGGTTAAAGATATTCACGAAATATTTTTTAATATTGTTCGGTACCTTATATCATTGTCATGTCAGCCATTTTACATAGAACTCAGAGTTAGAATTCGTGTCTCAAGGTGCGTGGCGGCATTTATGTTGTTAATATTTATCGGTTCAGGTATAATTTAATACTAGATGGGCTGTGAGTTTCTTCACTGCTCTAAGCAATAAAATCAACAAAAATGCCTGTTTTTTACCATTTAACAGTCTGGCGTCTATTTTCTCAGAGTCAAAATTTCGCCCAAAAGTTAGATTTACTACCCGCTAAAGTTTACGCTACAATTAGGAAAAAAAAACAAAAGATAATAAAAATTTTGGTAATACGAATCAGACTAGTAACTGCTGTTCAAACTTAAAATATCTTACTATAAAATAAAAGTACTATAAAAAATATTAATCTTGTTCTTGCTAATCAAAAATCCTTTACCTTGTCATGCCCTTTCGTATGGCCTAAATCGCTTTCAATATACACCTTCTCCATAGCCGATATTCTAGTGTGTTTACTTGGAGTGTCAGCTAACAACCACCAGATGACTGCACCGATTAAGCCAGATAGCAACCCGTAGAATCTGAAAATTCCAGGCCAACCTAATGACGAGGCTGAAATGAACCCTGTCATTGGAAGTCCTAATACGGTACCTAACGCCTGACCTGCAAGTATAATACAGAACATCAACCTCGAATTGATAACCTCCTTCTTTTTACAATATATGACTTTTTTGCAGTCGGTTTTCAATCAGGTATTGGCGTTAATTAGTATAAAGTAGTATAAAGTTAGTTGATAGAAATATTTAATATTTCTATAATAATTTTAATATATAATATAAATGTATTAAATAATTACAAATTTTGTATAAAAAGGCAGTTTGGACTGTATTTCTAACATCTGAAGAATTCAGAGGCCATTTTTTAATATCACTAGAGTCAAACAAGTCTTTTATCCGTCTGGGCACTAATGACGAAGCAGTCTTTTCTAATGTAATTTGAAAAAATACCATCGTGTGGTTTAATTCTTGTCTTAATAATAACGAGAACAGCTAAAAAAATAATATCTATATATTAATAGAAGAAACAAAAACTTTGTATCTCTTTTTACGAAAATTGTGCGGACGGAGGAGTATGAAATTTCCCACACTTATAGAGAATATAGAGAAGGAGTGCCGAATGTTAATATATTTTTAAAATATTATGAATAAAACAACATTAAATCAATAAAAAAACCATTACACACACTACCATTACAACGTATTTGACACACACACGCATGCATACTATTTGTTTATTGTCGAACTTTTCTAATTGCTTATAGTTTGTGGTCAAATTGAGAATAGATTAATATTGTTTGTCTAAAGTGTAGTCTTGGCAAAATCTGTAATCCGAAATCTGTAAAAAAATATAGAAGTTTAATAGTCTTTGACAATAGAACCATAATAGGTAATGTTCAAACTTATAATTTCAATTAGTTTTAGTCGAATTTCGACTAGTACGGGACCACTAGTTTTTATTTAAAAGCTTCCAACGTTTCCAACACGGTTTTCGTGATTACGAGCGACTGACTAACTTTTGATTTCATTCCAAACATCTTGTTAATAACTTTTTAAAATTATGCATAAAAAATACATTAAATCAATAAAAAATATTACGCACACTACCATTTATTTGACACATACACGGATATGTACTCTTTTGTTTATTGTTAAGGTCTGTGGTCAAATTAAGATTGTCTTTAATATTATTTGTTTATAGTTTAGCCTTAGCGAAATCTGTGATTATAGAACAATAATTATTATAGAAATATGTCAATAGAACCATAATAATGTTCAAACTTATAATTTAAATTAATTTTTGTCGATTTTTGACCAATGGGCGACCACTAGATATAAGTTAAAACCCATTTTACTGTACGGTATTGTACTGTAAAACTGTAAAACAAAAATTTTGGAACGTGATTTTTAGTTTTGTCTTGTTTAACATAAATTTACTAAGATCTCTCAAACATTTTAAGCAGTCGCTTACTTAGGTTATGTGCCAAATTTACAAGGCGTCATTAAATACTTAAAAAAAAGAGATAATAATCATCTATTATCATCATCATCATCTAATTACCTCCGTAAGTCAAAGCAGTTAAACGACCACGTTCATTCAACGGAGCCCAGTTTCCAAAGAAAGTGTGCATCCCGGGCATTATACACGCTTGACTCAAACCTTGTATAACACGGAATATTACTATGCAGATCCAACCTCCCTGGAACAATACGTTGATTTGAAAATAAGTAGACCTTTCAACCTTAATCAACCTTTTTTACTTTTTTATAGCATAGATGCGTGGACGAGCTCACGGCCCACCTGATGTTAAGTGATTACCGGAGCCCATAGACATCTCCAACTTAAGTGCCCTCACACACCTCGAGACATGAGTTCTAAGGTCTCAGTGTGTTTTACAGTACAACTGCTGCCCCACCCTTCAAACCGAAACTTACATAATAAGCTGGACCTTTGAGGGCTTCATAAATTTAGAAAACTGTAAGTACATACTACTGTGGCATCTATTTTACAAGGGGCAGTAGTAACATCACCTTGAAGACTTCATACTTCGATATTGACTGGAAGAATCGTTTTGATATCAGAACATCGATTTTTCTCGGTCAAATGAAATTTAAAACTAGATGGCAATCAATTTTCGCTACAACTGTGAAATATACTTACATAATAAGCGCCTAAAGGTAACAGAATGGACGCAATACAATTTATGGCCATAGCCCCAGTTAACAGGGATTTCGCTCCATATTTGTGGGCCAGGTGCCCAGCAGGTATCTGCAGAACTACGTAGCCCCATAAGAATGACGATATCACGACATCTTGGATTTTTTTGTTCCATTTGAAGATTGGGTACTGAAAAGAAAGCGTCGTGGTCTTTTCCTGACAATTTTGGTATTGTTTGTAATCTAAACATGATATTTGTATTCCTCTAGATGAAAAGATTTGTGTAGATATGAAAACGAGCTTAAAATCAATAGGACTTTGCTAATATCAGAGCACAAAAAAGGCCACAAACCCAATGTTGCCACAAGGCCACAAGGCCACAAACCCAACCCCAATATTAGCACTATCATCTACTTGTTCTTCGTTGGTGATTTTTTATCGCCAACAATTGCAGATGGTCTTGCAGTACCTAAAGGGAAGTGGATATGGCGGCTCATAAACCTCAGCAACGCTAGAGTCCCAAATCTATACATATAAATAAAATTAGAGTGTCTGTTTGTAGTATTGAAATAACTACTTTTTACTACATGCATATGAATATATATACGGTACGTACACCAAAATAACATTTATTACAATTTTTGTCTGTCTGTATGTCTGTTTGTTCCGTCTAATCTCTGGAACGGCTGGACCGATTTTGAAGGGACTTTCACTGACAGGTAGCTGATGATATAAGGAGTAACTTAGGCTTTTTTAGACTAGTTTTGCCCCGCGGCGTCACCCGCGGTACGACAATAACCGCGGGTAGCATTGCGGGACTCAACTATCAATAATAAAATTTAATGTTTCCGAAACGAAGCGAGGGCGGGTCGCTAGTATTATTATAAATTACATTAGTAGTCTTCATTACCTAACATCAGACAGGACAGCTTGTCAGACTATATAACCTAACGAAACGTGCTTTAAAATCTCATAAATCAGATTAATTACCAATATATTTTCACGATGAATTTAAAATAATCCCATTATCATTACAAAACTTACCGGTGGCACTAACATCAAGGCATTTAAAACTCCATGCACCTCAAATTCTTTACTACTAGAATTGCTTGTCAGATTAGTATTTGGGTCTTCATCAAAATCAGTCATGGCGACCAGAGAAACTCCCATACAGGCCCTCATGCTGTAGGCTATTGTCAGAGCGAAGAAGAGGATAACGCATTGCTGATGTCTGTAGCCCCATGACCCAACTGAAAAAAAACCAATTGTTTTATTATTTTACCATACAGAATAGAAAACCTCAAAGTTATCGGTGTCAGGAACTGGAAGAAGAAAGCCCTGAACAGAGCAGTCTGTAGAAACATACTTGGACCAGGCTAAGGCTCACCCTGGGCTGTAAGGCCTAAGATAATGATGATGAATAGAAGACAAATATACTGCTGAACTGGAGTGGCAACGAGAGTCCAGAGGTACGACTGTGTTAATCCTGCCTGGCAACTTGAGACAATGAGTCGAACGTACTCCTAGAAGCAAAATTCACGTTTGCTTTGCGACGGAAATGTCTACAATAATATCATAATTTATAACGATACAGGTATTTCTCTACTGGCTTCACTTAAGAAGGCAATCGAGAATAGTAACTCATACGGACTTCAGAATGTGTCTTCACTTTTTGTAGAATAACTAACTGTATTTTTTTATTTATCCCGCTCTGCGTGGGTGATCGAGCTCTGGTAATGGTTACTGGAATATTAATACGTGAATATCGCTATTCACAGATATTCAACTAAATGTCTCAAGTGTATTGTATAACGGCTGCCTAAACAATCAAACTGAAATTCATGATTGTTTTACACCAGTAATAAACAAGATGGTGCTTACCCGAGCGGCCTCACAGTGACATCCTACCACCGCTTATTACGTAAATGAATAAAGTTTCATTCACGGCAGTTGGTAGGACGTCTTGGGAATCTGAACCACCACCCTGCCTATTTCTGCTGTGAAGCATTAATACGGTTCGGTTTGAAGGGTGGGGCAGCCGTTGTAACTATACTGAGACCTTAGAACTTATAAAATATCTCAAGGTAGGTGGCGCATTTACGTTGTTGATGTCTATGGGCTCCAGTAACCACTCACCATCAAGTGGGCTGTATACTCGTCTGCTTAAAAGGAAAAGGATTTACTGTAAAAACTGAGACTTCAGAACTCATGTCTCAAGGTGGGTGGCGGCATTTACATTTAACACCAGGTCAGCTGTGACCTCGTGCGCCCTAAGCAAAAAAATAAATACTATTAATTTCAGTACACATTCAATACTCCTTCACTTGATCTTCTTCCTCAAGTTTCCGAAATAAAATATTTTCATGATAAACATTCCGAGTAAAATCGTTGAAGGAAAACATTTGACACAATTTCCTTAAGTCACGGAAAATTTATGACATCTTTTGTAGCGTCTAATTATTCGGTTTATTACACTTGATAACCGTTTGACGACGCGTTTTCCTCATGAATATAATATTCAATTCGATGAAAATCTACATATTCGTTGTAAGCTAGAATTAGTTCTGCTGATTTCGAATAGTCAATGTTTTTGAAGTTATAACTTCTTAAGGGAAGGAAGGTAAATCGATTCGTTACGTAACGCGTTACGGCGTCACTTTGTCTGGCTTCCCTTTCTCTCACGCATACGGAAGCGGCAATGAGAACGTTTGTAACTCTTAAATATTTATATATCTTTTTTAATTTACGTTACAATTTGCTTTACATTATCATATTAATATAAATAAAATTTAAGTAATAACTTAAGCTTTTCTCAAGTTAAACAATTTCAATATTAAATAGTTCAACTTTGATTAGTTTAAGTTATTACTTCTGTCGAGCGTCTCAGGACGCACAAGTTTTTTTATCATCTTCCACATTCAGCGGCCCTAAACTATGATATTTTCCTAAGATATTGGTATCAGAAATACACAAACGGAGCATCATCAAGCATGTTCAGATCATGGAACATTTCATTACGCTACTGATTCCGACCGGAGCCTGAAGTACGACCGAAACCATTCAAGGTATCACCCATGATAGCTTCGCTTCAAAAGCACTAAAACATAATATGTGGGCACACAACGACTTCGTCTATAACTAGGGGAACTAAAATAGTTAGTTAATAAAATAAGTTGAGAATACTACATAGAAAAGGACGAGAAAAAGTGGTATGTACCGGGAAAGACCACTGCTATCATTATCAGCCCACAGACGTCCACTGTTGGACACCTTCTTCTGCAAAGCTCGCCAAAACAACTGGAAAGATTCTTATTCTTTTTCTTCACCTTATCCCATAGGTGAGGGCAGCACAGTTATTTTTTCTTTTCCGTTCTCTTCTATCAGCCGTCAACTCAACACTCACTCCTTTCTCTCTCTCATATCGTTATTCACACACTCCATGCATGTCTTCTTCGGTCGACCTCTTCCCCCTCTACATTGCACTACCATTTCCATACATCTCCAAAGATTCTTCTTCTTTTTCTTCACCTTATCCCACTAGGTGGGGTCAGCACAGTTAATTTTTCTCTTCCATTCTCTTCTATCAGCCGTCATCTCAACACTCACTCCTCTCTCATATCGTTATTCACACACTCCATCCATGTCTTCTTCGGTCGACCTCTTCCCCCCCTATCTTGCACACATGCCATCATTATGCATCACATGTTCCTACCACGCTAACCGTCCGCTCTTTAATTTGTTAATTACCGGGGCTACTTTCACACTTCATCTGAGAAAGCTTCTTCTTTTTCTTCCTCAAAGATTATACCTACTCATTTATTTGATCTGGCTTCTCTTGGACTTCACTCGTCACCAGACCGTATTCTTAATGGAAATGAAGTTCTAAAATAACACTAAGTTCCGACTCGTTAATATATGGACGACAGTCTAAATAAATACTGTGCAGACACCAGGGATCTGCTCCAGTACCGGCAATAAAAATAATAAGAAAATATAATATCATATTAATTGAGTTTATTTCGTCAGTTCTTTCCAAGTCCAATGGTATTCTTCAACTGGTCTAGACTTGACATTCACTGAACATGTTCAAAGCACCGAGGATGGAGTCAATAAGGTTGTAACTACTTTTTAGTTGTCAGAAATATATTAGATGGTACTTACTCTCTACCCGTGCGGGTGCACAATATTGATATTACGCAAAAAAAATTGTGCGCGAAATATGCATTTGCATACAAAACATGCATTTTTGTTACACGATGCCATTTCTAAGTCGTCGAAGTCATTCACGAACATTTGTGATTTATTTTAACTATCCACCAGTATTTAAACTTCTCTACGGGTGCAGTAGGCCTCTTTTCTCAAAAATCCGGGCGACTCACTGCCACGTATTCACATTGTTCATCTGTTTGCACAGTATTGTTAAACCTTAGTCGATAACATGTAATACATACCTTTAAAATCTTCATTCTTTTCAAGACAAGCTCTCTTCTCTCCCATAACTTTACATAAGTCTGAATTAACAAAAACTAGAACTTCGTTTAAATTTATCTTTAACAACCTTTTCGAAGGCTTCAAGCCTAGACTCGCATAGAATAAATTATGTAGATAAGATTAAATCATCAACTCCGTAATCTTTATTTTAAGACTGAAACTTTTAAGATGATACAAACTATGGTACAGTATCTGTTATCGTATTAAAGGAGGAGACGAGCTCACGTTCCACCCGCTGTTAAGCGATCACTGAAGCTACCACCCAGACTGGGGGGTATGTGGGGGTAATCTTTTAATGGTGGTAGGACCTCTTGTGAGTCCGCGTGGGTAGGTACCACCACCCTGTCTATTTCTGCCGTGAAGCAGTAATGTGTTTCGGTTTGAAGGGTAGGGCAGCCGTTGTAACTATACTGAGATCTTAGAACTTATATCTCAAGGTGGGTGGCGCATTTACGTTGTAGATGTCTATGGGCTCCAGTAACCACTTAACACCAGATGGGCTGTGAGCTCGTCCACACATCTAAGCAATACAAAAAAAAATATCATATTAGTATTGTACTAGGGCTGGTCTACCCCTGAGGTTCGCATGCCATATTCGAGGCAACAATAGGTAGAATGATATACCCTTCGTGCGAGCTCTGAATTTTGCTTATGAAGTTTCGAATGACCAGTCAATTAACCTCAAAACCCTCAATTACCTGTTATCATTTAACTTTGATATTTGTTGTTCTCCATATTTTTTTATTGTGTAGTTGGGTGGACGAGCTCACAGCCCCCTGGTGTTAAGTGGTTACTGGAGCCCATAGACATTTACAACGTAAATACGCCACCCACTTTGAAATATGAGTTCTATTGTCTCAGTTTTCTAAAGCACAACGGTTGCCTCACCCTTCGTACCGAAATGCATTACTGCTTCACGGCACAAATATATAGGGTGGTGGTACCAACCCGTGCGGAGTCACATGATATCCTACCACCTGTAATTTTGCAAATTATTATTTTGCGGGTTTGATTTTTACTACACGATATTATTCCTTCACCGTGGATGGAAGTCAATCGTGAACATTGGTTAAGTACGTATTTCATTGGAAAAATTAGTAATAGCCAGCGGGTTTCAAACACCAGTGCGTCGCTAGATACGAATGCACTCAACGTCTTATTCTTTAGGCCACAATTACTTCAAACGGATTATAACGGAAAGCAACAATGCCAGTTCGCTGCCTACAATTGACAACTCTCGTAATTCTCTGATAAAGTAGGACAGGTCATAGAATTCAAGGGAAATCATGAATATCAGTAATTTGCAGAAATGTTTTCGAAAAGTCATTGTCCTGGGAAAAATCATAATAAAATACGTGTATTCCTTTGTTACGTAACGCTCCTTCTACGAGTAACGATTCTAAGTATTGCGCAGCATCACTACGCTAAGATTAAGCAATTTGCCTAACACCAATTAGGATTATAACTAACACGCTAATAAATTCGCTGTCTAGCTGCTTTGACATTACCGCTGCTTATCAATGTCGTAACAGATGACAAAAAAAGGACGGGAGAAGATTTTTTAAACGAAGTCGGTACGAAAGGAATTTCTTTCTGTCCTTTGGGTGCGATATAATTTCCCATGTAATATATAGACGGCTTGCAAATTATGTTCAAATTGTAAGTTTTTTTTTGTTTTTTAGCTTGGATGGGTGGTCGATCTCACAGCCCACCTGGTGTTAATTGGTTACTGGAGCCCATAGACATCTACAACGTAAATGCGCCCCCCACCTTGAGATATAAGTTCTAAGGTCTCAAGTAGGTATAGTTACAACGGCTGCCCCACCCTTCAAACCGAAACGCATTACTGCTTCACGGCAGAAATAGGCAGGGTGGTGGTACCCATCCGCGCAGACTCACAAGAGGTCCTACCACCAGTAAAAATCCGTAAAGTATCCGTCAAGAGTTGATATTGTGTTCATCATTGTGCATTTGCACTTTGCAAGTTTGGATACCTGGCCGAAAACCCTGTGAATCAACACAAATCATCAGTAATTACGCATAGTTATTCGTAATAATAGAGTGCTAGTGCGTAATTATAAAAGTCATTCGTGACCACAGATTCGTTGGCACACCAACCCAAACAATAAATCATGTAAATTGTCAGTAATCGTTTGGGGAAATTGGTACAAACGATTTGATCATTTTACTAGTCTTACCTGTTTCTTATGATTATGAAAACCTAAATAAATAAAAATTTCAAAATACTTTGGGAACGAAAGCAACTTTAAAATAATATTAAAACTGAAGACAAGCTATTTTTGATTAAGAAAGATAATTTAACTCTATGACTATAAACAAACAAGAAATTTTCTAACTCGCTAAAACTTCCATCTCACCTTTTTCTTAAAATTTTTTGATTATCGGATTTTTATTTTTCTTTGTAAGGAACATTAAAATATCAGTTATTATAACTATTTTTAACTAAGCCATTGAATTTCGAATTTTTTGAATCAATCCTTTTATCATACCTAAATCTATATTTTTGTTAGTAATTAATAAAGAAAAATCCACATGGGTGGTACATACCATTGTTTCTAGGGCAAAGTAGTTAGAGGAATTTACGCTGTGATACGGACTCCGATAGCCACTTAAATGACGATGGGCTTGACTATCCGTCAAGTGAAAATAAATAATTAAGTGGCCATTTTAATCTAATTGTAAAATTTATTAATTAATTTCGCACAACAAAACTTGTTTGATGCAAGGACTGAAGTATTCTTCGATAAAAATCCCAAAAGTTTGATACAAAATTACCCAAATTTTCCTTAAACTTGGTCAGAGTTAGAAAGTTTTAATAGCTGCTCAACAGACATCTATTATGTACCAGAAAATCCATATAAATAATAAAGGTTATATTATTGATGCCAAAATGTACCACATTTTTAGGGTTTCGTATAAGATTCCTAAAAAAGCATTGTTTTCAAGACAATTATATTAAATAGTTCAAACAGTAATTGTTTCTTCAAGGAAAAAAATCGGGCCGAAACCCTAAGGAGATGACAAAATTATGCACGTCATCACCACGTCGAATTGTTATGGAACACACATACAGTAAAAGTGAGAAAGAAACACATCAGTGTGCAGATGAAATAACTCATTACTACAACTAAATCACTGCAATTTATCCTAAACTTTGGTGTGTTACCTCAGTATGTAGTTAAAATAAATAAATAAATAGTCAAAATCTTAGTAAAATGACACTAGTTACTCCTGGTACAATACATTTTGATGTTTGAATGATTTGTGATAAAGTCTAATTTTAATTTAAATAAAATACGTGTTACGTTGTTTGTCCGCGATGGACACCTAAACTACTAAACCAATTTTAACTTTTTTTTTTTAGTATTTATTTTGTTCTGACTTAGGCCATAATATGATTTTTATTTCGATTAATGGTCGCAATATTTAATAATTAACAATAAAATGATTTTATATGTTGATTGTTGTTATTAATTGTAAGTTTCATATTAATAAGTTTAAAACAGATGGCGCTTTAAATTAGTTTTTAAAGACAATTGTAATACTGTCTGACATTAATATCTCATAGATGGCGCTGTGTTACAAATACCAACGTTTCACATAAGCTACAATTTAATGGCATACATACCACGTGTTGCTGAAGTTAAAGTATAAGTGAAATTTATTTCGTAGTAAACGCAATACAGTGAAATTCAATAGATCTTACTTTGTTAATTTTTGGTATTAGTATAGCCGGCCACGAGTTATTTAGAAAAAAAACCTTAGCCACAGCAACGTGTGGCTGAGTCTGCTAGTATTATATAAATACCAAAGCTTTTGTTGATGCTCAATTTTATTAACCATCAAATGTTTGTACCTGAGTCTTTAAATAAAATATATTCTAGTAGTAAGCTCAAATAAATTCCAGAGGAGTCTACACTAATAAAAAAAAAGATGTGTGGTGTCGTGGGACACAGGATAGGAATGAAGTTCCTTATTATAAAAATATTAATTTTAAGTTCTATTCGAGGTATAAAGAACATAAAACTGGAGGTTTCGCACAACCCACGGTCATTCGGTAACGTGCGAACTTATTGTGGTACACCTCACTCACGGTTGTTTGCATAAGAGACGTTTTTTCCCGGTTAGGGTACCCCTCCGCATCGTCCCATAAGGAACTTCGTTCCGAAATATTTTTTTGCAAAAAATATTTTCTTTTTTTCAACATATTATTTATTTATCTTAGTGCCCCTTGCGCATAAACCTAAATAAATAAAAAGAACTTAATGTGGCATATGTGGCAGTACACAATATTGCATGGTTACTTTTGAATTTGACCTGTACTGGCATTTATTTGGACTACAGAACCATTGTGCGGAGCTCACTACACATTTGTCCATTTTATTATTTATCGCACACTGGAAAAGCAGCAAGCTACTTTGACAAGACTATGGATTTTTATTTTAGTTGGAAAAGTTTACTCGCATTGACAAAGCAAACGTGTTTTATGCTCTGATAAAAATATAAGACGAATAAAAACTACTAAACTATGTTTTCACGATAAATAGACTTTGTTAATTTTTTTATTGCTTAGTTGGGCGGACGAGCTCACAGCCCACCTGGTGTTAAGTGGTCACTGGAGCCCATAGATATCTACAACGTAAACGCGCCACCCACCTTGGGATATAAGTTCTAAGCTCTCAGTGTAGTTACAACGGCTGCTCCATCCTTCAAATCGAAAGGCATTACTGCTTCACGACAGAAATAGGCAGGGTGATAGTACTTACCCGTGCGGAATCACAAGGGGCCCTACCACCGGTAATTACGCAAATTATAATTACACGAAGTTATTCCTTCACCGTGGAAGTCAATCGTGAACATTTGTTAAGTACGTATTTCATTAGAAAAATTGGTACCCGCCTGCAGGATTCGAACACCGGTGCATCGCTACATACGAATGCACCGGACGTCTTGTCCTTTAGGTCACGACGATTCTAAAATTGGTT